AGATTTTTCACAAAAACGTCATAACGCAATGTATAAAAGAAAGACCACAACACATAGTTTTGAAACTAAAAGACGTAGGTTTCGCAAATACAAATCAGGATGAATGAAGATGCATATTCGTCTGACATCAATGTTCTTCCCTTTTCTTCAGATTGTTTGTATTTTTGTTAACAATAATAATAAATGTTCAATGTTGTAAACGAAATAATATTTTGATCTAAGTAAGAGTTTTTTCCTACCGATTTATAAAAAATCCTTACGTGATAGAAAAAATGAATATTATTTTCAAAATCTGCGTAACTGAATTATGGACAATCCGTTATTCAAACCAAAACACCTTTTATGGAGTTTAAATTCGCAGGCCTGTGTAATTAGTGTGCGGAGCTGTGGATCGGAAATTCTAAATTTCGAGTCATAACATGTTACTGAATACGCTTCATGTTTTTAGCCTTGAAGGCGTTATAAATGTAACAGTCAATCCGCTATTCGATTAAACGTAACAGCATAGGCGGCGGATGGTGCTGACTGATTGCTCTCCCTCAGGTCAATAGTTCTAAATTAGGAAGGGCTATACATCAATCCTAGGGGTCTTTCATCTGGTCAGTTAAGCCGATGCATCGCATAAGGTGCTGTCCAAGTTGGAAATACCAATAATATAACGTCGTCTATGTGTTTGTTAAATCTATATTTATGTTAACAAGCAGTGACTCTAAGTTGTTATATGTTATTTACAACATAGCTTACATTTACATACAACTCGCTGCTGACGCCAGTGATTTTCGTATAAACATGGCCTAGTAGTTAGGGCGCTCGATTCACAATCTGTGGGTCGCGAGATCGAATCCTGTCACCGAACATGCTCGCACTTTCAGCCACGGGGCGTTATTATGTGACGGTCAGTCTCACTAGTCGTTGTTAAAGAGTAACCTTAGAGTTGGCAGTGGGCGTTGGTGACTAACTGCTTTCCCTCTAGTCTATCACTTCAAAATTAGGGACGGCTATTGCAGATAGCCCTCGTGTAGATTTGCGCGAAATTCAAAACAAACCAAACAATCCCTCTAGTACTATCACTTCAAAATTAGGGACGACTATTGCAGATAGCCCTCGTGTAGATTTGCGCGAAATTCAAAACAAACCAAACCAAACAATCCCTCTAGTATATCACTTCAAAATTAGGGACGACTATTGCAGATAGCCCTCGTGTAGATTTGCGCGAAATTCAAAACAAACCAAACAATCCCTCTAGTATATCACTTCAAAATTAGGGACGACTATTGCAGATAGCCCTCGAATAGTTTTGCGCGAAATTCAACAAATAAACAAACAAAGGAATTGCATATAAGAAGAACATTATTACAAATACATATTTTTAAGTGTGACGTATTTTAAGTCCAACAAACACACACACACACACACACACGAAATCTGATTATCTGTACTGTTATTTCTAAGGTCAATAACACTTTAAAGAGCACTGTGTTATTATTATCAAGGAAATGTAATTAAAACGAAATCTGTACCTCATATATAAACCTAACTTCTCCATTTTCTCGAAGCTACAAAAACACTTAAGCTATTAAACAGCACATAAAATAGTTGGGCTGAATACATATTAACGAGACGAGTTTTGGCTATTCCTAGAAATGTTGTCGGACGAATCGAGACAAGGCATTGCACGTGCTAGTAAAATGTGGTTGTAACAGACCAAACCAGTTGGTCGTCAGCGACCTTCAATTGTGGTGAAAATCTAAGCGAAATTTTACAAACCTGAAATGTCATATGAGATCTAGTACCGCGACGGGTTCTTTGTTATTTTTGTGTTAAATAACGCTACTTTTGAACTAAACATGAAAATAGCAAGCGTATATTATACATGATCTTGTATAAAGGATTTAAAAAAATTAAATAAAAAAAATACATCCAGCTAATTCATCTAGAATTATTTCGTAGTGCTCCTTGTTTGAGGCTAAGAAAATCACTGGCGCCAATCACCAGCCCCCCAGTGACACAGCGGTATGTCTGCGGACTTACAACGCTATAATCCGGGTTTCGATACTCGTGGTGGGTAGAGCACATATAGCCCATTGTGAAGCTTTGTGCTTATTTACAAACAAACCCATCAACAAAGGTCTTACGAAACTGTAGTAACTGCAAAAAAAATAAATAAATAAAATGTTACTCCTAGTTTAAATGCACAGAAATAATATTTTGGAATATATATTTTTACCGAACTATATGGAATAGCAAAAAAATATCCTATTTAACTGAAGTACGTGAATATTTACCGGAAAAAAAAGTGTTAAGTGAAGCTTATCTTTTACCTCTATTAAATTAATTAGTAATAAACATCCTTAAAAGCACAGACGCAACAAACCTTTTAATTAGGCAACTTAAATTAATGTCTTTAAAAAATCATGTTCACAGAGCTACTTAAAGGTTGGGGAAATAAATCATATTCACAGAGCTACTTAAAGGTTGGGGAAATAAATCATATTCACAGAGCTACTTAAAGGCTGGGGAAATAAATCATATTCACAGAGCTACTTAAAGGTTGGGGAAATAAATCATATTCACAGAGCTACTTAAAGGTTGGGGAAATAAATCATATTCACAGAGCTACTTAAAGGTTGGGGAAATAAATCATATTCACAGAGCTACTTAACGGTTGGGGAAATAAATCATATTCACAGAGCTACTTAACGGTTGGGGAAATAAATCATATTCACGGAGCTACTTAAAGGTTGGGGAAATAAATCATATTCACAAAGCTACTTAAAGGTTGGGGAAATTAGATTTTTTTGCATTCGTTTTTATTTCGATTCGTAAGAAAATAAACGGATGTCAACAACAACAACAACAACAATGGGAAAATATAAAGAAGTTCTCACGCACTGGAAGTGGTGCTGTCTGATTTTCTCTGACGTCCAATGTCATCCCTACACCAATGGGTCCTGGTACTACCACTGGGTTGGGTTCAATTACAAAATTGTTCACATAAACTGGATCGTCATCCTCTCCGCAATGTTCAAAAGCTAGTTTAGCTTTGCCCTGTCTGTCTGTGTCCTGAAATTCAGCATTTTTTTATTGTTTTTTCCTTGTTCACGTCAGCTCTACCTCTACCTTTCCTCAGATAAAAAGTTAAGTTTATATTTTAAACTTCATCATTTACTCTGTAAATTTATTTTAATTTTCAGTATGACATAAAAATACCTTTTGTAATAATGTTTTATGTACGATATATCTGAATGGCAAACAACAACAACAACTAACATTACAATGAAAATATTCAAATACTTGTTGCACAGTATCTCGTACTTTTTCTGTTATACCAACTAGGTGACACTCCCTAACCTTGATCTTCTCTCTAATCTTGATCTACGAGAATCTATGCAATCCTCAATAGCCGCGCCACTTGAGTTTTTTTGTTTTTTAGGCAGGATTAGAGTAAATTAATCTATGATAATTTTTATTTTTGTGCGCCAGCAATACCCAGTGTGGGATGCGCATATGTCCGATTAGATTTTATTACTCATCAGGACCTCAAATTGAAATTCTTTTAGGCAGGGTTAAAGTAAATTAATCTATGAGACCTTGTGTGACGTAAAAAAAAATACTTGTATAGTTATAGCGCAGCTGCTTGTGGTATTTAACGTTTTGGATGTTTGTGGATTTTATGCGAAAATCCACGCAATTGTTTAAGCTATATTTCATGCAAAATTGCTTCCAGATTTAATTTCATAGCACCTGTTTCTTACAAATTTTTCTGGAGGGCATGCCCCCAGACCCCCTCAGTAGCATTAGAATGATTTGCATACTGGCTTTTGATCTCACAAATTAGATTCCCCCCCCCCTTTCAAACATTCTATGTACGAACCTGAGTATCGTTTTATATATGATTTAGGTAGAATATTCATGATTAAAAAATAGGTCAAATGAGCAGCAACTGGCTACTTCTGAGTAATACTTGTTGAGAAGAACTACTTTTGTAGATTACATTTTCTCTACAAGTGTAACTCAGAAGTAGCCAGTTGCTGTCCATTTCGCCTTTGTTTGTTTAAAATAAGATTCCATTTTTCCCGAATCGACGTGCATGATGTTGGTTATTATTGTAACGCTTGATTTTTATGAAAGTAAATATATAAATATCTCACATTTTAAATACACAGTTTTACAATATTTCTATTCTAAAAAAAAATAAACTGGTTTGTTTATTACATTGTTAAAGTTAGGACAACTAAACTTAGTTGTTCCCTTTGTGCATGTGACCAGCAAGTGGCGACTGGCCACAATCTTTCATTTTTTTTTTAGCCGCGGCATAATGACTCATAAAATGGCTCTGGGGTTTTCTTTTTTTTTTTTAGCCGCGGCATAATGACTCATACAATGGCTCTGGGCTTTTTTTTTTTTTTCAAGTACAAACTTTTAGCTCATAGCTCCCTCATCTCTCGACCAATTTGAGCTCTAATTACAGTTTTGGACTCAAAAGATCAAACCCTTTCGATTGACGTATTTGACCACGCCCAAGGTCTCATAGACTGATTTACTCTAATCCTGCCTAAAAGAATTCCAGTTTGAGGGTAGATTGATGAGTAATAAAACGGGTATACACGCGTCCCACGCTTAGTATTGCTGGCGCACAAAAATATAGCTAATAAGGAAGGGGGGGGGGGGGGAAGGTCTCATAGATTGATTTACTTTAATCCTGCCTATAAGAATTTCAAGTGCCTGTGAGAACTCTCTAAGGAAGAATAAAATAGTGTGCCAATGCAAATTACTTCTAAA